AAACGATTTTTTTGCACTTGTAGTCGTAACACCCTAAACTAATGCCTCCTGTAGAATGTCAGTAACACAGCTATCAGTTTTCACTTATCGCTTGTAAAAATGGAATGCAAAAAGAAGTATCAGTGCGTCTCGGTCAACAGTAATAGCATATGATTAGGTATGTATACACGCCTAAAGTCTAGTACAATACATACATGTGAAAATCTATTGAGATATCTCAACATATGTGTAGAGAGTGTACAAGTTAATTTCCATTCGGCAACAGACGAACGAAAAATGTGATCAACAGATGAATGGCTATTTACATTTTTTTTCTTCGTTTATTGCCGAATTGGTTTGGCAATTCTAAGTGTATATGTATTTTGTTTTGAACACAGCAACTAACTTCCGACCATCAAACTATGACATAAGTTGGCATTATTTCGTTTTTTTAATCAGAATACCGTCGACCGTTGTAACTAGAGATGCAAAAAATGGCTTCAAAATTAAGCTTTGTGTTATTATTGCTAATGTTTGTTTGTCAAGTAAGCATAAATCATATAGCATTCAAAACGAAAAACAATTGTGTGGGGAAAAATAATAATTTATTTAAATATTTTGAAGGTTTGTTTGTCAACATCGATCTATCCTGAGTTACCAAAAGCTGAAAATACCGAAGTAACGGGCCAAACAACAGAAAACGTTAAAAAATCGACGATCGACATAGAGAAAAACCTGACCGATGAGGAGAAAAAAGTACTCAATGAAGCCCTCAACAATCTTACCACCGCCGATTCATTTGAAAAAAGCATTATTGGAACGGTAATAGTAAAACAATGTTGTTTTAATGAGAAGAAACGAATTCATTACAAACTTTCTTCCTTTCCTTCTTTTTTTTTCTTATGCTGAAAATTTAGATCAATTTACTCAAGGTTGGCTTCATGACTGGATTAACGGCTGGTTTTAGAGGAATAAATACATCAATTCCAGCTCCAAGTGCAGCATCACCTTAGTTCATCTAATCAATCTTAAATCATCTGTGTTGCCATCCACTATACTTGTGAAGATAGCCAACAATCCACTAGCTTTGTATTAATATAAATTCCATTTTACCAACATGAAAAAAAAACTGATGAAATAATAACCAATGAATAGTTTATCAGAAGAAATAAGCTTGACATTTGTTTTTCTCATGATAAGATTCTCGATTTAAAACCAAATATGTCATATTACCAGTGACTACATTCAGCTTACATAATATTTGTTCCTATGTCAGCTGAATGTAACCACACCATATTATATATCTTCTGAAAGTATTCCCCGTTGTTAGGAGGGAAAAGAGTATTCATCAGTAGCCACTGTACTCGAATATCCATTTTCAGATTTGCTATATTACGCGCTAAAAGTGACACAAATAAGCCGAACAGCATGTACATCTTATGCAAATGACAACTTCAAATCATAACTAAAACCACTACACCTGGTGGCTAAATTTCCATATACGTTTCAATGCCCCAACTAACCATTTTCGATACTGATAACGATCAAAAACCATTTTCAACATCAAAACTGTGCGATTTAATCGTAATCCCAAACTAATGCCTTGTATAGATTCAAAACTATAGAATTTTAGTCAAATATGGATCAGTTGTCACACGTGTGGAAATATAATGCAAACCATAGCGATAGTGCCACAATACATTTCAAATGTAAGTCATTTGACACATAGCAGTCAATGCCATCTCAATTCCAACTCATTGAATCATTGATATTTTCGGCAACATTTTTCAATCGTGTGTGGCTTTACTAGAATAAAATCAACTTTACGGCGACGCTAACAGCTTCTCTGTGGGCCGTTACTACGCGTTAACCAAAACGTATTGATGTTTTGCAATGGATACTCGATGCATTTGCCAAAATACTATGATTTTTTAACTCTCTTCTACGATGTGTGTGCAGAGAAGCTTCTGTACGTAGTGTCACCGTAAAGTTGATTATTGTATTCAACTCAAGCCACACACGATTGAAAAAAGTTGCCGAAAAATTCGATGATTCAATGAGTTGGTTTAGAGATGTCATTGGCTGTCTTCTTGTTGTTCCGGCAATATATTTATGATGCAAACAAAGTATCAGTTCGTCTCGATCAAAGGCAATAACGTGCGGTTAGGTGTACAAACGCTTAAAATCTAGTACACCAATCAATTACTATATATCCGAGTGCGCATGTTAATTTATATTCGGCAATAAACGAGCGACCAATTTCATTCAAATGAATTTTACATTTTTTAAATATTTTAAAGGTTTGTTTGTCAGCATCGATTCCAGCTGAGATACCAGCATCTACCGCTGTGGCGGGCCAAAAAACCGAAGACGTTAACAGTTTAAAGTCCGAATTGACAAAAAATCTGAACGATGAAGAGAAGAGCTCGATGAAGCCATCCAAAATGTTTCGTCACCTGAAACATTAGGACAAGGCATCAAGGGGGCGGTAATGGTCAAATCAATTTAATTATGATAAGAAAATCTTATTTACTTTTTTCTCTTCTTTCTCTTCGGAAAATATAGTTTGACTAATTCAAGATTGGTATCAAAGCTGATTTGAGAGAAGTTCAAGCAACTACATCGCTTTCACTTTCCATCAATAATGTTCACATAATACAATTTCCAAAGAACATTTAAACTGAGTGTTTTTCGACCAACATCACTTTTACGCTAACAGCAATTCGTACACGAACGAGTCAGTGTGATAGCGATGGTGTGAGCGAGACAAAGTTTGACAGAACACAATTTGGTTGTGTCAGTTTAAATGTTATTTGAATATTTCATCGTTACAAAAACCAAAGTTAGAAAAATTGTGAACTATTTTTTAACAAAGTCATTAAAATAAAAATTTAATTAAAAATCGTATTATTCAATTCCATTTCAAAGTGAAATTGTCCATTGATTAACTCTCATCAACCACATTCTTCCAGAACGTACCAAAAATCTGCCCAAAAAGTTATCACAAATTCAAAAGTGTGTGTTGCAATCGTAATCCTAAACTAATGCTTTATGTTTATTGTCGCACAGCTTGATAGCCGTTGACCGAATGTCGTCACTTATCGCTGGACAAAATGGGATGCAGAATAAAATATCAATGCGTTTCGGTCAAAGGTCATAACGTACGATTACATACATGAATATGAACTGTTTTGCTTTGAACACAGATAAACGAACAACTAACTTGTGACTGAATATGATTTAAGTTGGCGTTGTTTCGTTTTTTACTCAGAATACCATTAACAGTTGTGTGAGAGTTTTGCAAAAATGGCATCAAATTTGAGTGTTGTGTTTTTGTTATTGTTTGTTTATCAAGTAAGCATAAATCATATAGCAGTTAAATTGATTAAGTGGAAAAAATTGATTCATTTAAATATTTTGAAGGTTTGTTTCTCAGCATCGATTCCAACTGAGATATCAACAACTACCGTCAAAACAGTCGAACAATCGGAAGAATTCATCAAAATGAAGCTCCAATTGGAAAAAAACCTGAACGAAGTCGAGAAAATAGAATTAAATGGTGCCATATTCAACCTTACGATGGCCGATACATTAGAACAAGGCATTGAAGGAGCGGTAATAGTCAAATCAATGTTGTTTTCATGGGGAAAACTTACTGACTTTTCTTTCTTCTTTCTTTTCCAAAAATCTAGTTGAAGTTGATCCAGATTGGTGTTATGGCTGCTTTAAGAGAAGAGGAAACATCTCCCCCGACTCCAGCTCCAAGTGCAGCATCACCTTAGAACAAACCATCTGTGAATTTAGTGTGAATCTGAAGAAAACGAATTAAAATATTTGGCCAAACAATGGCCAAAAAATTGATTGTAGTGGTTTTTATTTACATTTCGTTGATGTTTGCCAATCGGTTTATTGCGTTCAATGTTTGATGCGAATCAAGCAATTTGGGTATTAACAGAGAAAATGCTTTCGTGTGCAAATATCGAATCGCCAACCCAAATCGAATAAATTCACACATTTGAACGCACATCAAGCATAGCCAGCAATCCAAATAAATTTATTACGGACCATGAGTTTGATAAGTGTGTCTATTGAATGGAATACACATTGCCCTGTTCGAAAATCAACATACGACAATTACTCGATTTTTACTCTGTAAATTACGGATGGCATTTCGATTGATCCCACTGGCCACATATTTTTTATTCTCTCACTCTCCCGCTCTCTCACTCTCTTTCGGTGCTTTTGTTCTCTTTTGCTCTTCGTTCAAGCGTCCACTTTATTTTGGATGAGGTATTTTTGTGGTTTACATTTGCAAAAGCACCACATTTAGAGGGTGTGCTACATTTGTACAGCTCGATAAATGAGTATCAATTAATCAATGCCGATGGCTTTTCAAGACTATTCATTACCGAAAACCGAATACACCCCAAGAAACACATTCCAACTTGCTTCGGAAGAAGGTATTTTCAGCCAAATACTCGTATTCTCTCTCTCTCTCTCTCTCTTTCTCTTTCTCTTTTCCTCTCTTTGTTATTTTGTCTCTGAAATTATAAAAGGGAACACTGTTGGCATCTCTGCTGAAAGTGTACCATTTACATAGTGTTTTGCTGCATTGTGCATTATTGCATACCCGAAGAAGAACAATAAACACCAGACTGCAACAATTCAAACATCATTCTCCAAATACTATTATGAAATCCTGATGAAGAATACCCATATGAACCATTTGCGGAGAAATTCAGTGTACAGTGGAGCTGTGCAGAGTTCGGCGGATATAGTTTGCTATATCTGAAGCAGTGCGTTCATGGCCACTTAGATGTGTATTGAACAATAGAAATATAAATACAGCAAAGAGTGCTGTTTTAGCCTATGTACGTATGTATCTCCGCTGAACTCCGTACTGTATTTTTCTGCAAATGGTTCATTTAAGTAAGCTTTCCATTACTTTGTAGAATTCTTTCGCATCTTTCATTTACTGACAATGAACACTACGTGATATTAACGAAAAAGAATTTGAAAACCGTGTCAGATGAGGCGATTTCACGATATAAAAAAGGTACAGGTAATTTTCTACGAAGATCATGTTTACCTGGAAGAGAGAAAAGTCCTCTGTTGTAAAACTAAATCCCTTGTGTTCCTTGGGTTGCCATTGTAGTAAAAAGAAGAGATACATAGTGCTAGGTAAATAATGCACTGGCCAGTTGTGTGAATTTGCTTGTAGCTGCCGACAGACACAACCATACACAAGGAATAAAATAAATGTAAATAGTCTTTTACCAGATTCTGTAGGTATTTCCTGCACTGTCGTCGTTATTCTTGTCGTTGGTTTAGTTCTTGTTGTTCCTCCAGTTGTTGTGAACTAATATAATTTAGGCAAATGCAAATTGAAGTTATATGTAAGAGCAGCTCTATTTTTCCTGTACACGACCATATACTTTGGAAATACAACTTCAACTGACACCGTATCGAATGAAAGTGAATATCTGAAAAGCCAAAATCACTGAACGTCAAACAAGCCACAAATTTAAGAATAATAAAAACATGACAATGAACAGCAGCAGCAACAATAACCCAAAACGGAAATGACTCGTTTTATTATTGAGAGAGAGGAATACAACTCAGTTTCTCCATTCCACCAATATATATATATATATATGGATCATACTGGAATGATCCACACTGCGCTGAAAACACTTGCAAAATAGCAAACCATTTCATATTCTTTTATACCAAAAATCAGCAATTATAACACAAACCATCTTACCCATATAGCTTGTTCATACTCGATATTATTGTGCGGAGTTTGGAGGAAGATGACATGTGTTCACATGTCTAATATTCAAACGAATATTTTACTGAAAAATACTAAATAGTTTGACAATTCACATTGATGTTTCTTCAGTGCTATCAGCCCAAGCGAATTCACTACTCTGATTATTTATATCACTAATAAATTGTTTCCTTTGTGTTGCAATTTATTGTTAAACACGCGAACGGTCTCATATGATAACTTTAGACATCGATATTTATGAGTTCGTTGAATTCTGGGAACATTATTTATGACATTTTTGCAAGTGAAGAACGGATTTTCGAAATGAATGAAAAATTAAAATGTGAAATCAAAATACACCTGGTTAATGGGATACCCGAACATAGAGTTAATTTAATAAATCATACAAATTAGAACATACTTAACTAACAGACAATATTTTAAGTCTAATGATAATTCAAAACCTCTCTTAACCGAAAATTGCTGCCGTTTGCATTATTTGATTTTGTACTCTTTGTATCTTTCGTTTTCGTATTTGTTCTTCGAAATCCCGTTGTCGTTGCCTTCGTCGTCGTTGTTGTTCTTGTTGTTCATGATCCCGTTGTCGTTGTTGCCGCTGCTGCCATTGCTGTTTTTGTTGTTCCAGTTGCTCTTGTTGTTGCTCTGTTTGCTGTGAACTAACAAAATTCAAGCAAATGCAGATTAAAACTATGAGTAAGAGCAGCTTCATTTTTCTTATTCACGTTCGACCACTTTTAGAACACAACTTCAACTGACACCGTATCGAATGAAAGCGAATGCCTGATCACTGAACAGTGAACACCAAATCAGTAACAATACAAATTTAAGAATAATAAAAACATGACAATGAGAAACGTACATGATATTGAAAAAAATTAAATAAATGTCTTGACTATGATGTTATTTTTTCCTGAATTATATCACTAATAAATTGTTTCCGTTGTGTTGTAATTTATGTCAGACGCTGGAATGGTTGCATCTGAGATCTTCTATGTTACAAAATGTAATTCTGTACTTTTTTTCTATCGAAGATGCAAACTTTACACAAGCCCACTGTGTGTAGTGTACGGAGTGAATGGGTCTTTGCGATGTTGATAAATGTCATGATTACATTTCCACTCAGAGTATGTGTCAGAGGGTTTTGAAAGTCTCGTATAAGATTTAGTGCTGATTATAGCCAATTTTGCGTTCAAGTGGAAACATTGACCAATGTTGGTCATTTGTTGGTTAGATATCGGAAACAATGTGCTGATTGTGGCTTTTAAATCGATGGACTGAATCTCGAATCGAGATTCTCGATAGCGTTTGAAATAGAGCAGAGCAGAGCAGTAAATTTAGCTTTGTCCATATCGCTCGATGCAACTGAAGAATGTTCGCTCAAAGCATTGAGCCAACCGTTTAGTTTCCGAAACATACAGCGGGCACATTGTTTCTTAAGCATTAGATTAAACCAGTCAATGACAGATAGCTGAGGATATATGCTGAGCATAGGAACTCATCAAGCTGAGATTGGGACGTTTGGACTTTGTGACTTGCTATTCGTGCAAATTTATGTGGAATTTTGGGGGAGTGTTGATGGAGTGTAATGGGAAATGTGTTCTAAACTCCCCTCCATCATAAATTTGTTTGAATAGCATGTCACAAAGTCAAAATATCCCAATCTCAGCTTGCTGAGTTTCTATGCTCAGCATATATCCTCAGCTATCTGTCATTAATTGGATTAAACTAAAAATCGTTTTTTTTCTGGTTCGGAAAAAAAAGCAAACTTATGGTGTTCATGATGTGCGAACGTGCGTTGAAGTGACAAGACAATAATTAGAAAAGTTTCCAAAAGTTTTATCATTTCCTTGAGGTAATTTTCAAAGCGTTCGCCAGTTTTAAGCGATGGCGTTGCATCATTTTGTCAAGCATCGATTTTATGCTCAATTGCACGGCGCTGATGGTTGCGTTTGTGTGCTAAAATTGCAAAGCATAGCAAAAATCCACTTGAATACAAATGATCCAGTTTTCAATGGAATGTCGCCGCATCAGATGTCAAGCGGGTTTGACTTGAGTGCTTGCGAGATCTTTAGCATCGTTCGACTAGTTGATGCGAATTAATTTTTGGAATATCTCCGCTAAATTGCATCGTCATCATTATCCATTGTTATAATCACACACTGAATCGATTTTCTAAATCTCCGAAATTAACCGATTTTAATGATTTACTCTATTATCGTAATGTGCGCTCCTTCGTTCGCTCGCTGGCTCCAAGTTGTCGATGTGCCAACGGCAATATTGGATTGATGTCACGAACTCAGCCAGTAAATGAACTAATTTCTGAAGCCACATACTCTCACACGTTGCCTCCTCAAGAAAATGGCATAAATTTCCACGGAACGCTCTGTCTCGCACACAGTGCACAACACACAGGCAACATTATTGATGAACACTTACTCCGTTTATCTTCGGTTTGGTCGGTGTGTTCGCTGTGCTCTGCTTTACTTTGCTATAGAAACGACATTAATCGAAAGCATTTAAACGTTATCGTTCGCTATTCGTTATTGGGAAAAGCAATTACCTCATGACTTCACAGCATATATTTTACGATACCCACATGCAACATGGTAGAAAAAGAGTCGGACGAATGAAAAAGAAGAAGCGCCGGCGAAAACAACAAAGAGAAGATGGCTTATGCACGGCATTTTTTGAAAGGGTTTCTGCAATGCTTTGGTTCGCTTATCACCGTCCTTATTTTTCTTCTTCGCTTTATTTAATTCAGTCGTGGAAAAACAGAGAAATGTCGAGCGCAATTGCGCTAGCTCATTATTCGTGAAAGTTTGAATAAAGATTCCGACGGAAAATTAAATAGTTAAGTAGGAATTTAAAGTTTTATTGAAGGGATTAAAATCGATTTAAACAACGAACGAACAAAACAACCGTTCGCGACACAAACACTCTCAATTCCGTCACGTATTTTCTAAAACTCATTGCGATAAGCATGCAAGTGGAGCAGAAGAAAAAATACACTGAAGAGTCTCGTAAACATAACGAAAAGTTATTTACATCTCTGGCTTCATTGGTTTTTTCC